TAGAAAGCAAGCTAAATTACTAGTAAATGAAACCCATGCCATACAAGGTGTACTATAAAAACAAGTATTAGGGAAGTGAAAATCAAAAGCACAATCAGACACTACCTCACATCCATTAGAATGGCTACCATAAAGAAAAACAGAAAATAGCAAGTGTTGGTGATAATGTGGAGAAATTGGACCCCATACACTGCTGGTGGGGATGTAAAATGGTACAACCACTGTGAAAAATAGTGCAGAGATTCCTCAAAACATTAAGCATAGAGTTATCATCTAATCCAGCAATTCCACTTCTGGGTAAATACCCAAAAGGAGTGAAAGCAATGACTCAAATATTTGTATAGCCATGTTCATAGCAGCATTATTCACAATAACTAAAAGGTGGAAGCAACCCAGGTGTCTATTGATGGATAAGCAAAATGTGGTCTATACATAAAATAGAATATTTTTTAGCCCTAACAAGGAAAAACTTTGAGTCAAGATGGCAGTGTAGGTTAACACCTCCTACAACCATATCAAAGTTACAACTAAACTACACAACAATCCTCATTCAGAACTGCCTGAAATCTAGCTGCATAGAAGTTCTACAACAAGGGATTTAAAGGAGAAGTCACATCAAGACTGATAGGAGGAGCAGAAATGCTAAACAGACTGGTCCCACACCTACATGAGGCAGATAAAAATCAAGGATGTTCTGGCTTCAGAGAAACCCCCTGAGGAGCAAGGAGGACCCACCCTCATATCAGGCACCCCAGCCCAGTGCTGAGAAGTTCCTGTAACTTCTGGCTATGAAAACCAGAGGAGATTGTGGCTAAGTACAATGAGTCCCAGGCAGTTCTTGAAGGGTCCACACACAGATATCTCTAACTCACTCCTTCTGAGCTCCAGTGTTGGGGCAGCAGCTTGAAATGCACCAGGGACGTATAGTGAGGAACTGAATTTTCTGGCATCAGGATGAGAGTTGAGAAGCAGCTTTCTCCCAGACAACTGTTGGCAGAAGCCATTGTTCCTTTGATGAGCCCTCCCCCAAGAGAGCCAGCAGGTGGCACCATATCTGAGACTCCATCAACCTGGTTATTACTATTTGTTCCACCCTGGTGATTTCCTGAGACCATGCCCCACCAAACTTAAGGGCTTACCCAAGCTGTTCCCAGTGGCTTTTGTGTAAGAAAGGCCTGTCTTGGCTCATGCTTCAAACTTTCCTAAAATCTCTCAAACAAGCAGCCTCCAGCTTCAGTGTCCCGTGGTACTTACCTCTCACTAAGTGGCCCCAGACCTGGCACCAGCAGCAACTGGTGGTGGTTCACAGCTTGGCTTCTCTTGAGCCACTCCAAGCCCAATACAAGTAGCAGCCATCTGCAGGTTGCTTTGTAGCTCATGCCAGGTGGCTCTGGGTAGAACAGACAGCAGCTGACTTCAGCTTGCACCTCCTGGGAGGCCCCAGATCAAAGAACTACCCAACCACCTCCACAGTGGCACACCCAAGGGGCAATTCAGCAGACACCAGAGCCCTGCTGAAGAAACTCCTGCTCTGTGGAATAGGCCCCTGTACAATTGACCCTCCATGGCAGTGAGTGGTCACAGCCAGTCCTTCCAGTCAATTTGCCTGGAGGTAAATCCCTCCCTTTGATGTGCCAACAATAACGTACAAAAGTACTTTACAAAAGGAGGGTGTACCCAGTCCACACAGGGTGGGGAATTAGTGAGGAAGGGGTGCACCTTGAGAGGCAGCTTAGGTGATGGGGTATGCTGTTCCACTGGACCCTATAGGATACCTATTACATAAGCCCACTATATCAAGCCCAGGATACATAATAGCTCTACATAATACATAGAAACAAACACAAGGAGGCTGCTAAAATGAGGAGACAAAGAAGCATGTCCCAAATGAAAGAACAGAAAAAACTCCAGAAAAAGAACTAAACAAAATGAGGACAAGCAATCTACTAGATGCAGAGTTCAAACACTGGTTATAAGGATGCTCAATGAACTTAATTGAGAACTTCAACAGCATAAAAAAGGACATGGAAACAACAAAAAAGAATGGTCAGAAATGAAGGACACACTAACTGAAATGAAGAATAGTTCACAGGAAAATTAACTGTAGATAAAGCCAGAATCATATCAACAATTTGGAATATAAGGAAGCATAAAACACCCAATCAGAAGAGCAAAAAAAAAGAAACGATTTCAAAAAGATATAGTGTAAAAAGCCTCTTGGAGAACTTCAAGTGTACCAATATTAACATCATAGGCATGCAGGAAGGAGAATAGAGAGAGCAAGAAATTGAAAACCTATTTGAAAAAATGGTGACAGAAAACTTTCCTAACCCAGTAAATAGACACACAAGTCCAGGAAGTATAGAGTCCTAAACAAAATGAACCCAAAGAGGCCCACACCAAGACACATATTAAAATGCAAAAGGTTAAAGACAAAGATAGAATCTTAAAAGCAGCAAGAGAAAAGAAGTTAGTTACCTACAAGGGAGCTCAACAGAAACTTTGCAGGCTAGAAGGGATTGGCAAGAAATAGTCAAAGTGATGAAAAGCTTGGTTGGCCTACAACCAAGATTACTCTATCTAGCAAAGCTATTATTTAGAATCGAAAGACAAATAAAGATCTTCCCAGACAAGAAAAGGTTGAAGGAGTTCATCACCATCAAACTAGTATTATGTGAAATATTAAAGGGTCTTCTTTAACAGGAAAAAATATAAAAAACATGAACAGTAAAATGGCAATACATATCTACTCAACAAATGAATCTAAAAAACCAAAATAAACCAAGAACAGAAACAGACTGATAGGATACCAAGAAAAATTTTGATGGTTGCCAGATGAGAGGGGATTTGGGGGATTGATAAAAAGGTGAAATGATTAAGAAGTACAAATTTGTTATTACAGAATAATCACATGGATATAAAGTACAACATGTGGAATATAGTCAATAATATTCTAATAACTATGTATGGGGTCAAATGAATAAGAGATTTCTCAGGATGATCACTTAGAAAGTTATATAATGTCTAATCACTGGGATGTACACCTGAAAGTAATATAATATTGTATGTCAACTGTAATTGAGAAATGGGAACATCATGCTATGTGAAATAAGTCAGATGCACAAGGACAATTATTGTATGATTTCAATTACATAAAGAACCCAGTCATCGGATTATAGAAACTAGAATGATGGTACCTTAGGCTGAGGAAAAAAGGAATTTAGTGGGGTTTCAGTTTTTCCAGGTGGAAGAGTTCTATAGATGGATGGTGGTGATGGCTGCACACTGTGAATGCACTAAATGTCACTGAACTATACACCTGAAAATTGTTAAGATGGTAATCTTATGTGTATTTTATTAAAATAACAGAAAGTAAACAAATAATAGTACTGTGCCAGTAAACTAATAATTTTAAAAGTAAGCAACTAAACACGATGTGGTGTCCTGAATTGCCTCCTACAACAGAAGAGTTCCTTAATGAAAAAAACGGGCCAATAGCCTCTAGTGTATTTAATACTAATGTGCCAATGTTAACTTCTTAGTTTTGACATATATACCATGACCTACATAAGATGTTAAAATTAGGGAAACTAGGTAAAGGGTATACAGGAACTATCTGTACTACCTTTGTAAGATCTCTCTAAATCTAACACTATTCCAAAATAAAAGTTTACTTTAAAATAAGCTTTAGCCCTGGCTGGTGTGGCTCAGTTAGTTGGGTGTCATCCCACAGACCAAAAGATCACAGGTTCAGTTTCTGGCTACGTTACATACCCAGGTTACAGGTTTGAGCTCCAGTGGGGGTGCATACAAGATGGCAACTAATCAATGTTTCTCTCTGTCTGTCTCTCTCCCTCCCTCTCTCTCTCTGAAAGCAATGAAAAAAAAAAAGTCAAGTGAGGATAAAAAATAAGTGTACCAATATTGAGTTTTAAAAAGCAAGCAACAACTAAAAAAGAAGTTAGAATTCCTACATAGATGACAAAGAAAATGCAAATATATTACTATTAACCAAGCAAGCAAGAAAATATGCCTATCTAGCTATAGTAGGTGTGAAATTTTTATTGTACTGTTCACTACTGCCCAGCTATTTTCTCATAATCCACTAACTGCAAAAAGGCAGGCTGTTGAATTATACTGCAGTACTATTGCCTTAAGGATCCTTTAAGGGTGCCTGTTGTCACTTAGATCACAAATATTTGTTATTGTGGATACAGTGTAAACTTCTAATAATTCATGATTTTATACCTTTGATAAATGAATTATAAGTTTGTGAGCATCCTCTTTTGAGTCAATAATGAACCCAATTTTGTGTTCAGTGGACTCCTAGGCAGTACAACTCAGACCAGATAGCCTTGACTCACCGTACCGTCTTCCAGCTGTGACATGGGGGCACTGAATATAAATTTATTTAGGGGTATGTAGGTACCTGCACAAATGTGGTAGGTCACCTTAGCCTCTGGAAGCCTATGTTCACTGTGCTGTAACTGTTAGAGAAAAAAAGATATGAACTTCATCAGTCACCAAGTGGTGGGAAGCAACTGGTCAAACACCTTGCTTCATTTAAATACTATATTCTATTTAAATACTATACTCAGAACAAAGTAAAAACAAAGCCTTACTCAGAAAGATGACTTGAAACAATGAAGTTTTATTTCCCAACCCAGCTTCTTTTCTGTTAAAGGCCAACTATGAAAAAACTGATATGACTTACAGAAGCATAGAAAATACACTGTGGCTTTTAACTACTCTGCATAAGGAATAAATGACTAAGGTATTGTCTCTTCTTTCCTTCCCTTCTCTGAAATCAGTGGTCTAAGTACCGAAGAGCTTAGAAGAGCTTACAACCGCAGGTGCGAGGGGTTAGGATTCAAAGGTGCAGCTTGCCATTTCCTTTCTCCATGACCTAGGGTCAAATAGTTAGCTTGTTTTGACTGTACACAGACCTTTTCATTTCTCTGGCACAACCTGAACTTGATGTGAAGCACTTACACAAGGAATGGTGCAGACAAGAAGGCAGCTTTATTGTACTTTGGGGAAAAAAACTTAATTCCATTTAGGGCGAAAGAAAAAAAAGCCATTGACACTGAATAAGCAACACTGCCACCTAGTGAAATGGTGGCATACCACCAGGACTCCTAGGACCAGCTATGAAATGTGATTTGCTGGTTTAAATTTTCACCATAAAACGTCATTTTTGATGAGCTAAACTTCAGAGAACCTCAGATTTTAAGAAAATATTTTTATCTGTGAAATGCATAAGTATATGTTTTCTCTGCATTTTTAAGAGTTTAGGTTTTGTTTCTTTTTTTTTTAACTGACCTGCAAATTAAATCTCAAAGTTATGAAACACTTTAGGGCAGCCTGCCTTTTGAACATCCATCACTCTTACACTCTTACTGGACAGTCTAAATAGCAACCCCTGACTATTACAGACAGTTCATAAAGAAGAAAACCTCAACTGTACAAGAACTATGTTTAGTCATTTCCTCCTATTTTTACAAAACAGGGTGCTAAGTATTTGCTCTTCACTTACATAAATTTCTGGAAAAAAAAGCATTAAAAGGAACCAACAATTATGCATAAATCACAGAATCAAACTCATTACAACTCCACGGTAACAATGGTAATACTGGTGTGAGGATGTGGGAGTGCCATTCTTAATGCATAGTAGAGTAATTCTCCTCAAGGCTTTAATTCTCCTTTATGCCCAGTTGTTGCAGTAAATGTGTTGATTTGATGACTTCTATGAGCATATAAATGGGAATATTTAATGAAACACTTGCCTGAAAAAAAATAGAGTTGTGAAAATAACATACTATTAATAACCACAATCTCAAATTGGCATCTCTGCTATTACTGAGATTTTAGATTCTGGGTTAAGTGCTCTACTCTTTGGAATATCCACAATGGTTATTGACCAGCTAATGAGTTCCTCCTGTACTGCAGCATTTCTGGTTAAATGGTTGGAAGCACTCACAGATTCTAGAATGCACAAGTCTGACACTGTCTCCATCAATTCATACTCTTGGCAAATAATAAATTCAGTCAATGATTTCAGGAAGAACCAAACTCTGGGAAAGAGGTATACAAATGTACAGTAAAAAGTTGAAAGAAAACATCTTCAGGTTGCATTTTTTTTCAGTAGACACAACTGAATGTTTCCACTCTGAGAACCTGAGATTGTCCAGAACAACAACGTTCTGAGTGTAGGACGTTAGCTATTGCAAAGTCAGAACCCAGTGTTTTGCGTTTCCCAAAGCAACATAAACTAGGGAGTAGGAAGTCCCTGAAGTACTGTATCTGAATGAGGTTGTTCTTTTGAGGGTTGGTCTCAATTGCCTTGGTGTTCACAATTTAAAATAACACCCCCAGCCCTCTCATCTGAAGCCTTTCTTCGTGGCATGTTCAAGTCAATTGTGTCTTTCACTGTGCTACTATGTGGGGAACCCTGAAATCAAAGCAGTAAGTGGTGCTAGGGGAGAGCCTTACATTAACTCAAACCTGATATCAAAGTCATCTCCAAAAACGTTTATTAGCATGATTAAAAACATTTTCTTGAATAATGACAGAATGTCTAAACATGAAAGCACACCAGTGGCTATACCTTATAACCAGAATTTGCAGCTGAATGAATGCCTTTATTGTCAGTCTTCATTTTATTAAAAACAATCCATTCTTATTGTTTCCATTTGTAATCATGGCTATTGCTTAGATGGGTGTGTGGAGGGGGTGTCCCCCACTATGATTAAGTATAAAAAATAGCTTCTGTAATTGAAGTGAGACCTACATTATTAAGAACTAATTAAAATCCTCAGAGTTGGGTTTTGTTCTTAAAAAAAAACATTCATTTTACACACTACAAAGAAATAATTAGTATTTTGGCTTTTCAAATTCCTACATGATATTTAGAACAACAGCCCCCAGAGGTCCCCCCTTCACGTAATGGAGAACACAGACCCTTTCCAGGAAGACTCTGTAGACTGCAGCCTCCATGGGTTTACACTGGTTTGAGCACAAAGACCGCGTCATCCAGAACATAGTAGTCATTATACATGTCCCCTTCACACAGGTATGGCAGTCTGGTGAAAGCTTCAATAACAAAACCCGCTTTTCTGAAAACTTCAGGCAGACTATTCACTTGTTCTTCCCAGTTCTGTCCCTTGATTTCCAAAATTTCTGACGGTTTCTCCCACTTGCCACCTACTAAAACAAATAAAAACATTAAGTTAAATTATTGAACATATAAGTTATTTCAAGAGGGAAGAAGGGAAGAATCTGTGCCGAGCACTGGGTGCTTTGATGACTCACCTGCCAGGTACCCCTGAGGTAGGTGGACAGAGACAAGGTACAGCCTTGGAAGGTCTAAAGAAGGAGTCCAAGCTTACAAGGCTAATAAGTGTCAGAATATCAGGTTTATCTGGACCCAAAGCCTGTACTATCACCTTCTCTGGCAGAGTTTCAGATATCACCCTCCCTTTGACTGATCCACCAGGGTATAATGGTTAATGGTTTGGAAAACTGCTCATTAAATAGTGGAATATTGAAGCAAGGAGTAACACATGATATTTGAAAAAGGGTTTTGGGTAAGTGCTTACAAAATACCAGTAATCTAATAAACTTATGCAACGTTATTAACTACAGAGGTCTGTGAGGCTGAAAATAAAAGTAGGTTAATGCAGAACTTTAATTTATAAAAATAAATAATCACTGTGTTTTTCAAGGGAAGCTGATCTAGTTCCTAACTTATCAGAACAATTTCATGAAAGTTAAGCTCCAGGATCATAGAGAGGTAGAACACTAAAATGAATGAGTCATCCCAGCATGTCTTAGAATAGTGACTAGAATTAATGTCAGTCATTTCCACATCTATGAGCATCAAATGTGGGGGAGGCAGGTGGGGAGAAGGGGGGATGATAAGGTCTTCAAGTTCACATGAACACCAAGTATTGACTATAGAGAGAGATACACACAGATAATGGTACATATAAATATGGGGTGCCTTTACTATGGTGATATAAAATAAACACACATATACTAAAAATATTACTAAATTCAGACTGGGAATAACTTTCTGTACATGAGAATATGTGTAAGTGATAGGTACCAACAGTACAAACACTGTAGTGGAAAGACTTTCATTCTCTTCAGAGGCCCCGCACCTGAATCTTGTCCCAGAGTCTTGGTGGCAGGCAAAGCCTGGAAAGCAGCTTCCCCCAGCCTTTCTTGCCACTAAGGCACTAGGCACCTGGCCTGAGCTGATACACTCATCTAGCCCTGGGATGAAGAGCTAGTGACCCAGGAGTGGGGCTCAAAGCTCCTTCTCTGGGGGTAAAGCAGTGGCAGTGAGTCAAGGCTGGGCCAATACTGAGCAGTACTAAAAAAGTCTGGTCCACACCAGGACATCTGGTGTTTGGTGTGATATTGTGAGCTTCAGATGAGTCTGATGGAATGATACGGGGCATTTTTCTTGGCTGCAGCCCCCACATATGACTCTCCAGTACTCCCAGTGACTCTGTAACTGCCTACCCCAAATCCTTTCCATAAGTTCCCCTTTGCTTAAGTCAGCAGAGTCATTTTCTGCTGCTTACGAAGAACTTACAAGAGTGGGTGGTGCAGGGTCTGGGGAAGGTATAGGATGACAGAGATTCCACACATCTGTTTCACAGCGTATCAAAAAGAGGTCACACAAAACTGGGCACAACTACTTAATGGTACTCAGTTTATTTTTCACTGTGCGGCGATACAATTATTCTTCACTGATCTTCCCACTGTCTGTATATGAAGACACTTCCTTCTGCTTCTCCATTCCCAGCAGTTACTGGCCCAGCACTGAGCACACACAGTAGGTGCCCCAGGACCAGAGATGACAGCTCTGGAAATTTAAAGGATCAATTATCTGTCACATGACACTCCTTTTTGGGAATATGCACAAATCATAATCTTACTCAAACCATCTAATGCTTGTGAGAATTTGTAAAATCCAGGAAAAATTTATCATATGAACATTTAAAAATGTGCTGTAAGCTAAAATCTCAACTTTAAATGGTGAAACTGTGTTAAAAACAATATTTACACAATTACAAAAAGTTCCTGATTATGGTTCCTTAATAAGAGTTCCTCTCTTCAGTTCTTCCTTTTTAAAAAGAGAAAAAAGAGCCAACTCTCTTTAAATGCATACTCCCCGCCACACACACACAGAAATGGAGGCTGTGAGCACGGTCAAGATCATTCTCGGTCTGGAAATCAGTCTGATTCTGTTTTATGTCGGTAAGGTTCTTTTTTATTCTCTCTCTCTCTCTCTCTCTTCCATTTTATTTAAATCAACCACTAGTTTTTGCCTAACACATTTATATTTTAAGGCCCTGCAGATTAATTTTTAAGTGTAGACATTATGGAAATTATCTAAAGTGGTAAGTTTCCTTTTCCCCTAGGAAAATAAGTGATAAAAGAATAGCTGAGAAAGTTTTATGTTAACACTGAAAAATACCTTTTGCTATTATGCTGCTTTATAGAGATAGCACCTCACCAAAGGGTTGAAATATTCCTAAAATCCCATGTACTAGTCATCAAAAATTTAATTCCCGTACAATAAGCTCCCAAACTCACTCAGCACATAGAAGCACTGAACAATTTGAATACTTTCAGAGAACAGTGTTTCTGAAAAGCCCAGTTTCTGTAAATTAGACAGTAATTATCTGGGGAAAAAAAGTTGTCACGGCTCCTTTCCAGAAAATAACCATCCCATAATAAATCCATTTTAAAATTCTCCCTGTATCTGTTTTTCATCCAGGAAAAAGAGAGTTTCCTACCTCACAGTTCTAATAATTTCATCATAGTTCTAATAAGTCTAATGATTTCAGATTTGCCCACAAAATCTGGGTCGTAGGGCAGCAAAACCTCTTAATTTTTCATCTGTGAAATATATAAATTTAAACTGAATATTTTGGGTAAAAGATCTATGATTTCCATTTCTACTTTCAGTAATAGTTTGTATTTTTCTATTAAATATGTATTGCATTTATAAACTTTTAACTAGTGTTATTTTAAAGAAGAAATCTGGATCTTTTAAAGATGTACTCTGAAAGCTATGCATCTGCAATGTCTGGGATCTGCCCTAAAACACTGTGGGAGTGAAGGAGCCTGAGTGGGGAGGATGCAAAGTGGGGCTGGAGCCGGCGATGGCAGGAAGCTCACTGAGCTAGCCTGCTACTACTCTGCATGTTTGATATTGTCCGTAAGAGGCTTTTAATCAGTGTCAAAAATTAGTTTTCCACATATTTTCTAGTTTTGTTTTTAAAAATGGTAATCTTTTTTAATCCCCTCCTCCAAGGAGATAAACTTTCAACCTCTTCAGAGGGTTCCGTGCTTTTAAAAAAAATCCTGTAGAACATGAGAGTTCTTAAAGAGAAGTTTTTCCCCAGGAGCAGGCTATGGTGTGACATATTATCCAAACTTCTCTTTTTTGATAGACATTGCTTAACTTGTGTGGGGGAGAAACAGATGTTTCCTCATAAGTCTGTGCTCTCACAGGAAATCCTACAACTGGTTTGCTCTCACGCAGACTCATTTCACAGAACTGGGAAACAGGCAGACATAAAACTCCAGAGTTGCAAATATCTTTCACCGTGGGGCATTAGCTCTCCAAGGAAAGTGTTAAAAGTCAGCTTCTCCCTGGCTGGTGTAGCTCAGTGGATTTAGTGCAGGCCTGCAAACCAAAGGATCTGGGTTCGATTCCCAGTCAGGGCACATGTCTGGGCTACAGGCCAGGTCCCAGCAGGGGACGCAAGAGAGGCAACCATACATTGATATTTCTCTCCCTCTTTCCTTCCCTTCCTCTCTAAAGATAAATAAATAAAATCTTTAAAAAAAAGTCAGCTTCTCTTTTAAGAACTCCATTGGACAGAGGACACAGAATTGAGACATTGTTGGTTAATTCTTATGTTCTGACAGGCCCAATTCCAATTCAAACTTCCAAGATACAACGATCATTTGTTACACGCTATAAAGTGTTTGTCTAGGCTTCTAAGGTGGCAGTCTGGGTAGGAGGCGTGAGGGACTATTTATGATACTTAGCAGTGAACCCAGTACCCTCAGCTGGTCTTCTCCAGGTGACCTAACCCTCACACATAATTTATATTTATCAAGTCACTAAAAAGCTCCCAGCTCATCTTGAATTGTACAAATATTAAAATTAAAATATGGTGAGAACAGATGTGCCTCATAAGACCTGTAAGAAAATGTTAAGTGACAAAGCCCATCCAAAACATAAGTATCAGGCCAGCTACATGATTCTTCTATTTCATTTACAGATTCACACAAATAAGACCATTTGTAAACACACAACCAGGCAGAAGTCAAACTAAAAATTGGCAAAAATTAAAAAAAAAAAAAAATAGGGCAGAACTTCCATTTATAAACACCTGAGTAGCTTTCCAGCTTCACACGCCCGGGATAAGGTCAAGGTAGGATCAACCTGTGTGACTTGAAAAGTAGCACAACATGGTGGAGAGAGCCCTGGCCTGGGTGTCTGGTCCCAGCCCTGCTAACACCTTTAGCAGGCGGATGGCCCTGCTGGGACATCCACAATTATCTCTGAAATGGGCATATAACACTGTGGAAGTAGGAAAATTGGTACAGGCAAAAGAAATTCTCTACCTGTTCTTAAATATTGGGCTGGCCAAAAAGTCCATTTTGTTTTTTCCATAAAATAAAATATACATTTTTCATTTTTACCAATAACTTTATTGATTTGGAAATTTTGAGTATGCTGGCTATCTCCTACTATTGGCTTCTAGTGAGTAGAGGTCAGAGGTGCTGCTAAACATCTTCTAATGCATAAGACAGTTCTACATCAAAGAATTATTTGGACAAAATGTCAACAGTACCAAGAAACTTCACAAATCACTTCTGAAACATTTGATAAGTCACAGCATCTTCTCCATACACTGCACAAAGTTTTTCCTGCATTTCAATTGCATTTTACCTTTCTTGAAATAATAAAGCATAATACACCAAACTTTTGTATCTTCCTCCATCTTCAATATTAAAATGGCTGCACAAAAAGTCACAAATTTTGATGAGTTTTTTTAAATACACACTGATATGACAGCTGTCACACAGAATCTAACCGAATTGTTCTGAATGAAGTTAGAGACAACTAAGCACTACTAGAGCCAGTGTATGGGAAAAATGTAATGGACTTTTTGGCCAACCCAATACTTCCTACAACCCCAAAGCAGGAGGGTTACACAAGTAAATCCTCCTACATTGATGGTCTCAAACATCCCAATGACCCCACAAGGTACAGAATACTACCCCATTCTTCTAATGAGGAAGCTGAGAGGCACAGACTATAGAGATGGCAGAGCTGAAATCCCAACTCAAGTCTGTGACCTTTATCATGATACTGTTCATCGAAGAAGCTACAAGGGACTATAAAGCAGTGATAAAGATGCAGGAGAAATCAGTTTGCTTAGCCCAGACATGGCCCACTCAGGAGGCATTTCCCCAGGTGCACACTTTTCTTTTATAGTATTTCCCATAGGGACAGTGCTTCGCAATAGGACAATTGTGAACTGCCATGAATTCCTAGTAATCCCAAACCCCGTAAGGCAAAACACCAAATGCCTACTGCTCAGGTGGCTCAGCCATGGAAGCAACACTGGCATGAGGGCTTTGATCCCAGGACCACACTGAACACAAGAGTCCTGTGAGGCCAGGGGTACAGATGAGGACACAGGCTCTGAGAGATCCCAGGAAAGCCTGTCAGTCCACCGAGAGGGAATGTGGGGACTCTGAACCTCTGACCTGGAATTGTGGCCACCTCTGGTCCCAAGGCTGATCCCACTGGAACTTTTCTGAGGCTGTACCCAAGTAACCAGACATCACTGTGAACCAGCAGGCTAGGGTCAAGAAACACAGGGAGTTAAGAAAAGTGAGGACCATCGATGGCTTACTTTTATAGTCTTGTTTGTGCTGGGAGTTAAGATTAGAAAAAGAAATTTGGAGTTTCTAAGCCCACAAATGTTAGCAAGATAGAAGCACAGGCTGTCTTCCTCCCACAGGTGCTGCAGGCGACTGTACGATCTCTGTCTCTCAACCATCTGTCCTCGAAGTGGACTACACTCAAGTGGCTGTGACCATGCTCTGCACCTTCTCCACAGCGGGGTGCCCCCACAAGCAACCCAACAACCTGTGGTTTCGCTATGGGAATCACCAGCCAGAGACCCTCTGCTTGGATGGGTGCACAAGCAAGGCAGACAAATTTATAGTGAGGAAGGACCTGGCACAAAACCAGGTATCCCTCACAGTCAACAGGCTGACGTCCAATGACAGTGCCATCTACATCTGTGGAATAGCCTTTCCCAGTTCACAGGACCCAAGGGCCAAGCAAACCGGAGCTGGGACTGTGCTGGTGGTGAGAGGTTAGTTGGTCATGGCTGTACTGTGGTACACTGTATTCACTCAGCCAATTAAATGTGTTACACAGCTTACACACACACACACACACACACACACACACACACACACACACACACACACTATGACAGAACTCTGCTGGCTTAATACTCTAGCTGGGGAAGGGCCATGACCCTAGCACAAGTTGACACGCAGTTTGATTAAAAAACCAATGTGACACCCTCTCCAACCTCTGCAAAGTCGGGGGTATGTTGAGCGCTATGTTCTCTCCCCAAGTCCAGATGTTATTAGTGAGGGTGACCTTTCTGTCTATTATGGTGAGCGGTGTGACATACTGAGGCCAAAGGGAAATGTGTGATGGTTAGCATCAGCTTTCTCAGGAACTGGCCTGGAATTGCACCATTTAGAACAAAGTATTGGAGGAGTGCATAAGTGATCATAAATTGGACCCAGAAAAAGTATGTGTTACAGAGAATAAATACAAATTTGGACAGAAGCCACAGTGGTGTCCCTGACCCTACTATTCTGGGTGGACAGAAGAGAAAGGGACTGGAGTGACTATGGCTACTTGAGATTTGTTAAAACCATGACAATTTCTTCATTCAAGTAAGGATACTGAAACTAAGTCCTATATGTCAAGAAATTAAATTTTAAAATTTCAGGAAAAATGCTGCACATAATTCTAGGGAAAGGAAGAGAGGGCAATAACTCCTTGACTTTTTTTTAATCTCTTCCCTTATAAAGGACTCCAGTATGATGAGCACTGAGATCATGGAAACGTGAACTCACTTACACAGGACTTTGAGGGCCTGAGCTCTGCTGTGTTAGAATCCCCGCTTTCAATTACTAGGATGTTCCCAGGGGCTTTTGATAGTCCACTGCCATTTCACCCTATTTGATTCTCTCCTGTAAGATAAATCATACATGAATTAATATACATAAAGCACTTTTAATGGTGCCTGGTTTATAGCAAGTACTTGGTAAATGTTAGCTACAGATATTAAAACAAAAACACAAAAGTTCTGGAGATTTATATAGCTCACTGCATTAGTCTTCTATTAAAAAAAATGTTAGCCAAAAGAAAAAAGTGTTTGAAGAAGATAAAGGTCCCAAAACTGCAATCTCATGTTAAGAGAAATTCTTGTTTAGCAGCAGAAATGAGAGTATCACCAATATAGACACAAAAATTTCATGCCTTTTCTGTAGAACTCCTAACTTAGCCCTTGAAACATTTTTTAAAAGCTTTACAGATCTGGCCCTGGCTGGTGTAGCTCAGTGGATTGAGCACGGGCCTGTGAAGCAAAGGGTTGCCTGTTTGATTCCCAATCAAACATGGGCACATGCCTGAGTTGCAGGCCAGGTCCCCAGTGGGGGACACATGAGAGGCAACCACACATTGATGTTTCTCTCCCACTCTTTAAATAAATAAATAAAAATTTTAAAAAGCTTTATGGATGTGTTAGTTTCAGAACAAAAGTACTGTTGTTATAAACTGAGCTCACAAAATAAGCATCTAGGGATATTTAGTTTAAAAGTTCAGGTTTTTTAGATAATGACCACAAATCAAATTGTATTTTGTACTTCAAATAATCAAGTACTTAAAGACATAGCATGTTACCCATCCCCACATACAGCATAAGACACTTCCTATAAGGAGGAAGAAATTAGAATGGGAAGATGGATTTAATAATTCTACCTCCAAGACTTTATTAGTGAGAAGAAGGGGAACGTGGAACAACACCTGTCTTTCAAGTGCCTAGAGAGCGCATGGCCTTCTCAGGTCCTTTTAGATACTGCACTAGTCAGCTACATATACTGAATGGCTCAAGGTTACAAATGTCAGCATTAACAAATACAGAGGAAATACCTCTTTCACTCCATAAACACAGTCTTAATGACACTGTACATCATTTCTACCAAAAAAAAAAAATCATAAAGGTACCCCTGGCTAGTGTGGCTCAGTGGATTGAGTGCTGGTCTATGAACCAAAGGGTCACTGGTTCAATTCCCCCATCAAGGCACATGTCTGCGTTGTGGGCCAGGTGCACAACTGAGGGTGCACAAGAGGCAACCACACATTGATGTTTCTCTCCCTCTCTAAAAATAAATAGAATCTTTTAAAAAATCATAAAAGTCCTTGAATAACTGTCTTAAAATGTTTACCTAACTTTAAGTAATGTTTTATATAAAAATAATTTTTATCATTATGAAAATTGAATTAAAAAAATTTTTAACTTTAAAAACAATTAAATTTTTAGTATAATACATTTTAAAAACTGTTTAACTGGCTTTAACTATATGATATACTTGAGTATCTTTTGAATCAAAAGACAAAAATAAATTTTTATTTATTTGTCGAGCAAAGTTCATGTTTCATCTCTAAAATATAGTTTCGGTTAAACTTTAAACATATATTTGCAGTAATAAGTTTCAATAATGACTGTGGCTCTCTCTGTTTTTATAATTAACAAGAAATGAAAGGTCTAGGCAAGGAACTACAGGGTCTCCTGATAGCTCTGTTATCACTGCTCTCCATCTATGTTGCTGGTGTACTGGTGATCTTCATCATCCTCTCCAAAGTAAGTTAAATTCCCTTGCGTCTGGATTCCCACCCATCCTCATGTGAGCATCAGAAACAGCTCATCCAATTAACACCTTCCTGCATAGCTGTAGGAAATGTTGCCTGCAGGAGAGGTCATAGAAAAAAGTGTACATTTTCAACACGGAAATTATTACTGACCAGAATACATAATGTCTTCTCTTTAAAACTCAGTAGTATGGGAATAAGGAACCCTTCTTTATACCCATCTTATATGCTATCTTTCTGCTGGGGTAGGGGAATAAAGGTTTAAGAATGAGCAAAAAAGGGGTGAACAAAGAGATTAGAAGCTGCCCTAAAATACTCTTTCTCAAAAACTTTAGGCCTTTTAAAAGTATCTTCTGGCTGCTCATGTGCTATAAGCATGGTCTGTATGTATTATATTAGGATTACTATAAATCCAACAACCAGCATCAGTCTGAGTTATTTTATTATTATAAGCATCTCAAAAATGGCATAAAAATAAGTTTTACAGTATAGTATTAAATACTAACTTTCAATCTCATGGTAGGAGTTGTCTGCCGCAATTGTTTTGAGTACATAAAATGTCTTTTAAGAGTTTCCTTTTCTTCTTGACAGTCAAAATCTAATACTCTAAGAAGCAAAGAAACAGAAGACTCACAAAAGGTATTGATACCAGTGCTTGTAAAATATCTTTAAATTGTGGCTGGTTGTAACTATTTCAAATCTGAAACAGTATAAGAAACACAGAGAGCATCATGGTAACTTTCAACCACAGCTACCATTTCCTCTTGTTGAGAAACTCAATTATAACTCAAATGCTAAACTGGGATTTAAACCTGATAGTTTTTAGCCATAAATTCTACTTAATATATTCAAAATACCAGTTACAGGTAGGTGCAGGTGTGCTGGAGGAGGGGAGAGGGAGCTTGGTGACATGCAATGTCTATAGCTTCTAGTCCTAAGATGGAGGCATTTTTTTCTCATTTATATTTACAGAAAAAGAGTGCTAGGCGTATTTTCCAGGAAATTGCTCAAGAACTTTATAATAAGAAACACATGGGAACAAGCCAACAACCTGTAAGTGTAAAGTATGAAAAAGATGTCACGCAGACATAATGTATGTTTGACTAAAAAACTAAGCTGCCAACAGCCATCAATAATCATGGTTTCCTGTAGAAGAGTTCAAGAGAGGATTTGAACAAATGCAATGAATCTTTATATAGAACCTGTTTTGATAAAGACATCTGATACAATATTAAAGAGACCAGGCTGGTATCTCAGTGACATGGACTCTTTCAGAAGCATAGTGGGCACAGACAATGCTTTCAACACAGACAAGGCCACTTTTGTGGGCTGAAGACTCCCTGGTACAGTATGCAGGAGTAGGCATTGTACACAAGTTGCAAACACTTGTGGATCAAGTTACAGAGTAAACATTACTTGTTGCTAATAGGGCAGAAATAAGTTAACAGAAGAAAAGATACAGCTAATGAAAATAAAAGTTGACTATTTCTTCAGGATTTGGGGTTGGAGTGGTAGGAAGAATGCACTGACATTATCTTCTGACGGTGTCTCTTTAAAGTCCTATGTAAACTGGTTTTGCAAACGGGATGTGATTTTAGAGCTAGTAGAGCAGATACTCGGTTTCCATGACATATTCAGATCGTTCAAATTTAAGTTAAAATAATACAGGAAAATGAACTTCTATACTACTGAGGATACTTTCTTCTTAAACAGCAGCCAAAATGGCAAATGTAATAGGTTTCTGAAAGAGATGTGCTTTCTAAAATCAACATTTAAAAAGAATTTTCATCCAGGAGAGAGTATCACCTAAGTAGTCATTTCATCTTTCAATGTATATACAAATACATAAAGAAGTGGTCTGGTACCTAACATGCTAGTCTGAATAATTATAAATGCCTGTTCACACTCTTCTTAGTGAGGTTGGGGCATCTTTTTCAGGAAAGAAGCAAAGGTAAGTGATCTGAACATAGGCCTGGAAGTAAGAATTATAACATGTTCTAAGCCAGGACCTTAACAAAGGCATCTGAACAAGAAGATTAACTTTCAGTTTCCACATCTTACTCTAAATAGAGGAAAAATGGTAACTTGACGAGTACTTAGGAGTACTTAGGACCCAGAATGCAAGATGGTACAGCAGTTCATATGTTGCTTTCAGCATGGTATCATTGGTTATATAACCTGAAATATTTACTATTGCAGGAGAAAGACAACACTTATGAAAACAGAAGAGCACTTGACAACTATGAAAAACCATAGAAATGGTTTAATTTTCAATTAAGTCCTGAAAATTCAGAAGTTAATGGGCATACACCCATCAGGGCTTTAAAAATATAATCAAAGATAAATGGAAAAGACAACTGGCTACAAGTAAGAATGCTGAAATACAAGGAAACTACAACTAATGATAATTACCAAAATTCTAAAACGAAATCAAACTGTAAATACTACCCTAAATCACTAAAAGAATTCTAAGCACTTTAACATTTTCAAAAAAATTCTGTTTTTATAACATGCATCCTCTATTTTATTCAACATATGAAGTGTGTGATGATTATTACCCTGAAGATTTGAAGCCGCACCACATGCCTCAGTCTTGAGTGGAAGTTGTACAAGTGACAGGCCAATTAGACTAAGTTGGGAGAGAAGAAAGAGAGAAGGAAGGAAGGGAGGGAGGGATGGAAGAAAGGAGGCAGGGAAGGAGAGAGGGAGGGAGGGAGGGAGGGAGGGAGGGAGGGAGGGAGGAAGGGAGGAAGGAAGGAAGGAAGGAAGGAAGGAAGGAAGGAAGGAAGGAAGGAAGGAAGGAAGGAAGGAAGGGAAGGGAAGGGAGGGAGGAAGGAAAGGAGAGAAAGAAAGGAAGGGAGGGAGGAAGGAAAGGAGAGAAAGAAAGGAAGGGAGGGAGGAAGGAAAGTGTCAAAATCTGAGCTGGAGAAAAATCATCTTGCCAAGTACCTTGGAGCAAAAATCATCTCCTTTAGTACTGCCATGGGCAATGGTGCAGTGCACTCTTCTGCTGGGCTATACAAATGACTCACATTACACTGCCAACAAATAGCAAGACTAGAATAGAACGTAGTAAAAAGATGGTAGCTAAAATATAGAAAATTCAAAGCAGAAGGCCAAACAGAAAACCCCAGAACAAATACACCACAGCTGATCCAGATGTCAGAATTATGCCCAATAACCCCAGAGGAGTGGGTGACATCCTATACTTGACAGTGTCTTTGCCTTAGTGATTTGTAACCAACTTAGGAGGGAAATATCAGATAATGGGCTGATCCAGGAAGTATGTTTATGGAACTTATTATCATCTCACCAAGAAAAGATGCTATGGCTTGTTCTTTGAAAGTTACCTCAGTACAAAAAATTTATTTAAAATATCCACAAGTGTATATTCACCATTAAATATGAGTTATAACCTATTATTTTTACTTCATTAAAGTGTTTTAAGTGGTATTAAATGAGGTGTATTCTTATTTTAAAAGCCCAGATAGAATTTTTAAATATTCTATCTGGGTAGATAGAATATTTAAAAATATTAAATGAAGGTTCCCTTCAAAAATGTTTTGCATAGATGAATTAAATCTGTGATCTCCAACCTGTCTAGTTAGTCACACATGCCAGGAAAAATGGAAAAAGAAGGGAGAGCATGTAAACTCATTTTATTTATGTGTACATATATGTTGTACATAAATATAATGTATGTGTGTACATGTATATGTGTATATATGTGTTAGACACCAAAATAGAAATTAAACAATTGGCATAAAAATATACAGTTGACCCCTGAACAATTCAGGAGCCAGGGGCGCCAACTCTGTCTCCCTGCTGAGCAATCAAAAACACACAACTTTTGACTCCTCAAAACTTAACTACTAATAGCCTACTCTTGACTGAAAGCCTTACTTATAACAGTCAATTAACACATATTTTGTATGTTATATATATTATATACTATATTCTTACAATAAAGTAAGCTTGAGAAAAGAAAATATTGTTAAGAATATTCTAAGAAAGAGAAAAACATTTACAGCGTATTTTCAATTCTTGAAAATAAATCTGCATGTAAGTGGACCCATGCAGTTCAAACCCATATCGTTACACAGTCAACTGTAATTAGAAATGCCAATATTTTCTTCCTATATCCCGAAATAAATTGTCTTGTATACTCCCTGAGGTGTGTACCCCACTTTGAGACTGCTAGCATGGATGAAATAAAAGAACTACTAAACAGGATGGCAAAAAAGAGTAAGCAGTAACACTATCCAGGTGAACAGAAGTATTGAATTAGATCACTTACTTTTCATTTCTGAGAAGCACTACATTTTAGTACTTCCAGGGCTGAACATATACTATTCTTTGCATAACTAACTGGCAGGCAAAATCCCTTAGATAAATAAGTATTGATATTTAATTGAGAATAAGCTTTACCCACCACAAGCAAGAACTACATTTTAAAGATTGATTTTTAAGCAGAAATTTGGAATACACTTTCCCAAAGAAAGTAGTTATTCTCCCTCAGATCATATATAAGAGTGCTTGGTGTGTGCATAATGTCCATTCTTTTATTCATCCTTCTAGCCAACAATATTTATTGAACACAATACTATTACTCAAAGGCCTCTGGATACTATCCTTGGGTCCTGCTGAATGTGTCCTTCCCAACTCCACCCTGTCTACTCTCTCATGCTTCTGCATATGCTGTTCCCTCTGCCTCATAAAAGACTTCACAGAAACGGAACAGCCTGAGTGTCACCAACCATGTGAAACCTTAAGTGATTCCCCAGGGGTTAATGGGTCTTTCCTAAACCAACAGTACTTGGTCATATTTCTTATCAAACTATCCTGCCATTGTCTGTTTACATCTGTCTTCTGTCCTATTCTGTAAGTATTTTAAGGCTAGAAGCACATTTTTTCCACTGCCCAGCACTGTCTGGTACATAGTAGGCTCTCAAATGCCATTATATGAATGAAACTAAAAAATGTTTCTATAGAAAAATATTTTTTCAACACTTCAACTGAGATGTGAAGCACATTCGCTCCCTAGCCACCAACCCTCATACCCCTATCCATAAGGACTATTTATTGAATTCCTAATAGTATTAACATTCCTACTGAGTATTCAGAATTTTTGATGGAAAAGATTACACTGTAGCTTTCTGTTTAGATTTGAGTTTGCCATGATAATGAAAACAGAATATTACTGAAAGAACTGAAAGAGGGAAACAGACATGGTTCTAGTGTCTACACATCCTTTCATGACCACTTAAACCACATACCAAAAGATGGTAACAGGATTTTCAGAGTAAGCCATTTCTTTCTCTCTGCTATAAAAGACTTGAGAGAATCTGAACCTCTGACTAATTGGCATATAGTTAAGTATCTTTAGAATCAAGTCACATAAACTGATGGAAAATGCAAACTTGAAGCTGAAGTTAAAAAATGGAAAGAAGGCATCGAATTATTATTTTTATTGTTAAAGGAGTTTCACAGGCAAATCTACAGGACATTAATAAATATTTCAAACTGAAGAAATGAGAACAGGTATGATCAATAAAGCCACAAATAAAAATGAAATAACAGAAGAAGATGGGATGTATCAAATACCAGTGCTGAGACAGACACAGCTGGGCTCTACCCTATACACAAGATTATTTAATCCTAACAACATACTTTATGGACAGTATTAGCCCCAATTTTACAGATGAAACACTAAGCTTAATCAGAGGCCCAGGTTAGTAAGGGCTGATCTACATTTCTAGTACAGGTTGCCCTACAAAGACCAAGATCTTTCCAGGAAACAGTCCTGCCAGAGACTTGCTTGTATTTAGACTGACGGGAGCTTTTAGACTTACTGTGTCTAATTTAGCGAGAACAATGAGCCTAGTGAGAAAGTTGCCAAAGGCTACCTTTCAAAGAGCACATGCCCCAGTGGTTATCAGCCTCACTGCTATTACAGGAGAAATCTACTAAACTTTCAGAGATAACCACATGCCTTTTAAACTGTTCCGGAGCAGAAGAGAAAAAATTTCCAAATTAGTTTTTATGAAGCCAGCAGAACATCGATATTGAAACATGGCACAAATTGTATTCATCAATATTAATGCTAATATTTTTATTTAGAATTTTTGTAAAGACAATCTAATGATGCATTACAAAACTATTCTAAGCCCAGAACTGCAAAAGTGGATATATATTAGAAAAGTATTATTAATTTAATAAGTCAAAGGAAAAAAAAAACAGGATGACCACACCTCCACAGATGCTGAAAACAACCAGTGAAATATATCAATAGTGGTTCGTGATTTTTTAAGCTCTTAAGAAAACAGGATTAAAAAAATACGTATCTCAAGACAAACAACAGCAATGTCAAGCCAAAAGATAGCATCACATTTAAAGTGGAAACATTTCATTAAAGTCAAAATCAAAACAAAAACATCCACTGTTTTTAATGAACATTTTCTAGAATTAACTACCAATTCTAGACCAAAAGAAAAAGTCTGAAAATGAAAAGTAGTAAAACCATTTCTAAACATGAGAGAATCAATAATAAAAATATTGGAAACACTACAATAATTCAGTAAGACAAAAGATAAAAAATCAACTGCTAGTGTATACACGGTATTCATTCTATAACACAATGGAGGACCCACTTGGCGACAACATGAACAAACCTGGAGGACATTATGCTCAGTGAAGTATACAAATACCATAGGATCTCACTTGTACTTGGAATCTAAACAAGCCAAACTCCTAGAACCACACAGAAAAATAACAGTTGTCAGGGGCTGGGGTAGGGAGGAAATGGGGAGATGTCAGTCTAACATCCAGTTTGAGATGAGTAAATTCTATAAATCTAATGTACAGCAGGGTGACTACACTTATGATACTACTGCATAGTATACACGAAATTTCCTAAGGTAACTACATGAGGTAATGTGTTAATTAACTTGATAGGGATAATCATTTACAAAATGCATATATATATTAAAATCATCATGCTGCATACCTTAAATATATACATTTTTATTTGTTAACTATACCTCAATAGAGCTGAAAAAATAAAAATTAAAAATATGATAGAAGAGAAATTTCTATTTAAAGTATCTCACACACACAGACCCCATTAGAATAAATCTAACAAAAATTGTGCTGGACCTTTGTGGAGAAAAATTCCATGTTACTAAAGAACACAAAGAAGTGATGCAGTTGGACGATATATCCTATTATTGACTAGGAAGGCTCAATAATCTCTAAATTAAGATATAAATTTAATTTAAGGGGAACCAAATAAGCTAATGGTAAAGTTGATCTGTTAAATAAATGAGCCAAGAAAAGACTGAACAGGAACTGACTGAAGGCAAGCAGTGCTACAATATTAAAACACATCATGAACTGCATTAAGTAAAGTCATTTGGTACTAACACACAGAAAGATCAGTCTTAACAGCACAGAACCACACACACAGGATTTTAGTCTATGATAAAGGTGACACTTTAAAGCACTGAGGAAAGGATAATGATTCAGTAAATGATGTTAGGATCACAGGCTAGCAGTTCCAGCCCTATAACTGTATCCTACAGACAACCTTAACCTTACTTCCTCCAGGTCTTTGTCATACCCTCTCAGTGAGGTCCCTCCCTAGCCTGCCCTGTAAGATTACAGAACTCAAACCCAACCCCCAATTTCAGAAGCCTGTTTCACACTTTTGTTGTTTATTTCCTACCCAACACTCACCACCAATGACATGCCATTTCCTTAATGTCTATCTTCCTCGCTAGAGTGTAAGCTCCATGAGGGTAACTACATGTGTATGTTTTTTGCTCACTGTATCCCCAGCATGTAGGTACTCAGTAAATACTTTTTAAATGAATGAAACTATTCTGTGACATAGAGTATTCAGTACCCACTTCCCTTTTGCTTGCTCTCACTCTCTCTCCTCCCCATTCCCTTTCTCTCTAAAAAAATTAATCAATAAAATTTTTTAAAAGAATGCTCATGTCACTACTATTTATAAAGCAAACTGCCAGTGTCTGAAGGGGCTTCCTAAAGTGGTCATGACACACCCTGTGGTGTGTGGGTAAATGTTTAGCAACCTGCTCCAAGGAGAGGCTACCTGTGCTGTGTGCCAGTTTCCATGGTATTGGCACTTGCACCACGGTCAATTGCAGTAATGGCCACGTTTACAACCAGAGCACCAAATTCCTGCCACTATACCAACCAGTGCTCATGAGCCAGTAAAACCAGCTCCAGCACACCACTGCTTACAGTCCAAGAATGACATAGACACATATGAGGTCCATCTGAAAGAAGTCTAGCCATTGTTAATATAAAGAGAACAGTTTGCACGACATTGATGAAACCTGGCTGCCAAGGAGAGTGGACTGGAATGTGCATGTGTGAACAACAACTTCACTGCACTAGTCAGTGGGGGCAGTAGACGCCGGTGAGTAAGCATGTGTGCTGTGTGGCCGTTGCATTCAAAATGACTGAGCAAACTGAGCAACAAATCTGCATCAAATTTTGTGTTAAACTTAAATGTTCCTCTGCAGAAACTAATTAGATGATGCGGAAGGCCATAGCTATTGGCAACTGGTGATTGGCAGCTTTATCACAACAACACACCCACTTATGCATCACATCTTATGCAGAGTTTTTTGGTGAAACATCAAATCACCCAGGTGATTCAATCCCCCTACAGCCTAGATTTGGTGTCCTGTGACTTCTGGCTTTTCCCAAAACTAAAATCACCTTTGAAAGGGACAAGATTTCAGGCCATCAATGAGATTCAAGAAAATATGATGGAGCAGCTGATGGTGATTGAGAGAACTGTATGAGGTCCCAAGGTGCCTACTCTGAAGGGACTAAGGTATCATTGTCCTATGTACAATGTTTCTGATATCTTATATCTTGTTCAATAAATGTCTCTACTTGTCATATTACATGGGTGGATTCCTTCTGGATAGGCCTTGTATATGTTGGTAAGGAATAATCTGCTAGATATGTTTAAGTGGCAACAAAAGTATGATGAGCTTTAATTATATAATCCATTTTCCCATGTATACACATACTTATATATGTACAGACTACCTTTGGGGATATTCAATAAACCTAAACAAGATTGTGGAACAGGAAAGGATGAAAAACTATTCATTATATACCCTCTTGCAAACTGCTGGAATTCTTTTTTTATCATGAATTTCCTTTTTATGAAAATTACAATTAAAAAAAATTATACATCACTAAATTTTCAGTTTTGCAATATAATTCTCCTTTTGTTGATTATACAATTTTTACTTTTTTTGATGCTTACGACATTTCTCAGTGGATTTAATAATTCCTAACCAAAATTGGGTTAGTAAACCAAATAAACTGAAATTAGGTACATTTTGCATTTATTCCAAATGTTAATACCCAAGTAACAAAATCACTATAGTTCAAATTTAAGACAAATGAAAAAATTACAGAGAGAATCATTTAATCTACAATTGCTTTTTGTTCAAAAATAAATTAAGCCAAGTGTGCAACGTATACTCAGCTAACCTTAGAATAGCCCAGTACTCATGAATTCACACAGCAAGATCACCTTGGACATCCCACACCTCACAGTGTCACCTGGAGGTGTCACTGAGAGGGACTCTGAGGGACTGTCACAGTGTCACAGAGTCCCTTAGTGTCACCTAGACCCTGGAAACCATCAGGGTCTAATCAGTGACTTAGAGAAAGAAAGAAAGCCATACTAGAGTACCAAGGAGCAGTGCACAAAATTTATAGATCATTCCAGGTAACCCACAGTAACGAAGCTGCTTGTCTCAGGTGTGCTGTGTCACTGCAGACTCCCTGGACTCAGCAGGCAACACTGTGTACCCACCATTAATGAGCTTGTTTTCAGTCCTTACTAGAAACAGCCCTGTTGTCCAAAGTGACTCCTCAATTTTTAGTGTCAGAAACACAAGGATATAAAAATCATGGTCAAACTGTTTCTTCCCCTGCTCTTCCATCTCCTACTATGCCAGGAAGTTGCATTAAAGTTCTACCATGTGGTTACCCAATAAGGCACAGGAAACCAGGACCTTACAACCTGATGACTCATGACTGAAATGCAGAAAGACAGAGCTAAGGTCTGATTATACATGAATATCATTGAAATAAGATCAGGTTGCTGAATTATCAAGAAGGACACTTACTGGGTTTTTCACTGTACAACACATATATGATATACTGGGACTCACCCCTAAAGCAGTGTTTTCTTTACCATGACAAACGAGTCAACAACAAGAATGTAAAAATGGACATGGAAAGGGAATAACTGTACAACTCTTTCCCACCCTCCTATGTCCAAAGAAATCCCCATTTGACTATCATCAACACATACTTAAACCATTTGGTAAATGTTAAGACAAGCATTAAATATCAACAGACTAAAACCTGATGGGGGAAAAATAAAGACAAGAAGAAGTGAAGGAGCAAGTGAGTAGAAACACAAATCCATGGCCATAAGCAAACATAAACATTATTTCTTAGGATACAGATTTTCACAGAAGTCACTAACCACAATGCTTACAAAATATTCATGGATTTCTTAAATATGACTACAAGCTGTCCTGGCGGGGTGGTTCAGTTGGTTGGAGCCTCATCCCATATGCCAGAAGGTTGTGGGTTCAATTCCTGGTCAGGACACATACCTAGGTTACAAATTTGATCCCTCATCTAATCACATATGGAAAGCAACAAATAAATGTTTCTCTCTCACATTGATGTCTGTCTTTCTCTCTCTCTCCCCACCCCATCCTCTTTTTTCCTTTCCTCTCCCTCTCTAAAATTCTAAAAATCAATTAAAAAATATATCCTCAGTCAGGATTAAAATTTTTTTAATTTAATGTCTGCAAGCTCCTAGAGGTTTTTAAAAACAGATTTTATTTTTTTAAAGATTTTATTTATTTTTAGAGAGAGGGGAAGGGAAGGAGAAAGATAGGGAGAGAAACATCAATGTGTGGTTTCCTCTGGCAAGCCCCCTACTGGGGACCTGGCCTGCAACCCAGGCATTTGCCCTAGACTGGCAATCGAACCAGCGACCCTTTGGTTTGCAGGCCAACACCCAACCCACTAAGCTACACCACCCAAGGTAAAAAATGATTTAAGAGACAGAGAAAGAAAAACATCAATGTGAGAGACTAACATTAATTAGTTTCCTCCTGTACATGCCCCAACCAGGGATGCATTCTGCAACCTTACAGTGTACAGAATAGCACTCCAACCAACTGAGCCACCCAACTAGGGCAGCACTTAACAGTTTCTGAATCTCAGGCTGAGCTAGGCAGTAAAATTTTAAAAAACTAACGACTTTAAAACATTAACATGTACTATTTATATAACTAATATTTTTATATTATAGTACATTAACTTATAAAAATGCAAAGAGGCTGAAAGTCATAACTTTCAAAATGACCTGAAATGAAAAGCATATTAGCTAAAACTATGAGTCAATGTGATACTGCCAGAAGTCAAAGTAAATAAGTATAAATAGGAAATCAAACCATTTCTTCTAATATATTCTTCACTCAACATTGCTGAAGAGCAAGTCCACACAATCACAAAACCAAATGTTACGCAAAGAAATAATACCTGCTGGAACACAAAAGGGCAAAATGGATAACAGCATTTACCACTGTGAGAGTCTGGGATGAGAGATGTAAAATACAAAACAGCTATGACATTCAGCAAGTAGATACACGTAGATTAAAAAGCATCATTTACTTCTTGACCCAGCTTATAAACTAATAAATAAATAGTGCGAGTTCCATTTAAAAGCACTAAAGATGGGCCCATGTTAGGCTTTTTATTGGAGTGGACAGACACCACTGAGCACTAATTATTACCAGTGTGGATTTTATGAAACTCTAGAGGGACTGGAGTTCCATAAAACCCACACTGAGATGAACATTCATCAAGTAGGTATTTTCCATGGGTAAACTGTATTCTTTAAAATTCCAGACTATATTCTAAGAAACAGAATCCCAAATAGCAATAAATGCCTATGGTGGAAAAGAGGCTACTTGACCACACTCACCGTTTTCCACATAGGGATGAAAGGGTAAGACCAGGGCCAGGATGACCCTGCCTCTAGTTGGCTCCAAGACACTTCTGATATCCTTCAATAAAGTCAGGGGCTGATCACAGCGGTCCAGCAAATTCAAGCAGCTGATGACATCATACTGGAACCCTGTATTCTGCCATTCATTTATACCGAGCACTCTGGAAATATCAGAGGGAACTGGATTGATACAAAACTCCCTTAAACTCATCTTTAAAAATAACTGAGATGGCCCTGGCTGGTGTAGCTCAGTGGATTGAGTGCAGGTCTGCGACACATGATCGCGGTTCAATCCCCAGTCAGGGCACATGCCTGGGTTGCAGGCCAGTTCCCAGTGGGGGACTCACGAGAGGCAACCATACATTGATATTTCTCTCTTTCTCTCCTTGCCTTTCCCCCTAAAGGTAAACAAATAAAATCTTAAAATAAATAAATAAATAAATAAATAAATAAATAAATAACAAAATAAAAATAAAAATAACTGAGATGCCAGTAAAGCCTCTTAACTTTGTCTTCTAAACAAAAGTACATTTAAAAATCTTCATTTATAATCTATATTTGTAGAACTAAAAGGGCCAGGCAAGAGAAAAATTGCTACAATATTTTTTAAAATTTAGCATGTCACCTATTTCCAAATCTCAAATCATAAAATTTTCTTTACGAGAGCTAATCATATGTTTTATAAGTATGATGACATGGTGATAAAAATTATAAAACTAGAGTATCAAATGCTTGAACATCAGTTAATGAACAAAGAGTCATACTTTCTACATTCACTAGTATTTAATCATAAAACATATATTTATGTTTTCCATTCCTAGGGTCCCTCCTATTTTTAGAATGGCTAGGTGTAGTACAGATGATTTCCATTTATAACTTATAACCTTTTGAGCATATGTATTCCTGAGAGAGATATTATTTCATATTCTGGGATCTTCATATCTGAATAATTTATAGAAGAAAAAGCATAGAACATTCCACTAAAACTCTAAGTACATGAAGGGTATAGTTTTTATTTGCTAATATTTTTTAATTTTGTAATGTTTTATTGATTATGCTATTACAGTTATCCCATTTTCTCTCCTTTATTCCCCTCCACCCTGTGCACCCACTCCCACCCATGTCCCCCTGCTTTAGTTCATGTCCATGGGTCATATACATAAGTTTTTCAGCTTCTAAATTTCCTATACTATTCTTAACATTCCCGTCTATTTTCTACCTACCATTTATGCTACTTATTCTCTGTACCTTTTCCCCCTCTCCCCACACCCACTCCCCTGCTTATAACCACCCATGTGATCTCCATTTCTGTGATTCTGTACCTGTCCTAGTTGTTTGATTAGTTTGTTTTTGTTTTTGGTTCAGTTGTTAATGATTATGAGTTTGCTGTCATTTTACTGTTCATATTTTTATCTTCTTTCTCTTAGATAAGTCCCTTTAACGTTTCATATAATAAGGGTTTGGTGATGATGAACTCCTTTAACTTGACCTTATCTGGGAAGAACTTTAATCTGCCCTTCCATTCTAAATGAAAGCTTTGCTGGATAGAGCAATTTTGGGTGTAGGTCCTTGCCTTTCCTGACTTGGAATACTTCTTTCCAGCCCCTTCTTGCACGCAAGGTCTCTTTTGAGAAATCAGCTGACAGTCTGATGGGAACTCCTTTGTAGGTAACTCTGTCCTTTTGCTGCTTTTCAGATTCTCTCCTTATCTTTAATCTTGTTTAATGTAATTACGATGTGCCTTTGTGTGTTCCTCCCTGGGTCCAACTTCTTTGGGACTCTCTGACCTTCCTGGACTTCCTGGAAGTCTATTTCCTTTGCCAGATTGGGGAAGTTCTCCTTCATTATTTGTTCAAATAAGTTTTCCATTTCTTAATCTTTCTCTTCTCCTTCTGGTACCCCTATAATTTGGATGTTAGAATGTTTAAAGATGTTCCTAAGCGTCTCATTTTTTTTGAATTCTTGTTTTTTCACTCTGTTCTGGTTTAATGTTTCTTTCTTCCTTCTGGGCTACATCACTGATTTGAGTCCCAGTTTCCTTCCCATCACTGTTGGTTCCCTGTACATTTTCCTTTATCTCACTTAGCATAGCCTTCATTTTTCCATCTAATGTGAGACCATATTCAACCAATTCTATGAGTGTCCTAATCACCAGCGCTTTGAACTGTGCATCTGATAGGTTGGCTATCTCTTTGTTGCTTAGTTGTATTTTTTCTGAAGCTTTGATCTGTTCTTTCATATGGGCCATTTTTTTTTTGTCTTGGTGCACCTGTTAGGGGCACCTATAAGGGGCAGAGCCTTAGGTGTTCATCAGGGCAGGGCAACCCATGGCACTGCGACGTGACATTGTATGTGGGGGAGGGGTTTGAGAAGGAACAATGTCACTTGCTCTGCTCTCTGCCAGTTTTCAGTCATTTCCCCTGCTACCCACAATCAAATTGGGCCCTTCTGGTGCTGATTCCCGGGTGGGTGGGCATGTGTACATTCTAGGACCCTGTTGGTCTCTCTAAAGAACTCTCTTGTGAGGCTGGCAGTGTCTCCTGCTGTTGCCTCAACCCCCGCTAGTGTTTTTAGTCAGAGGTTTGAGGCTTTTTTCCCCATACTTGAACCCCAGGTTGCGTGGTCTATCTCACTCCCCAGTTCTTCCTTTCAGTTTATCTGCACGTGAATATGGGATCACCCATTCCTCAATGCACCACCTCACCGGTCTGCCAACTGCTGCCTTGCTGCGAGTCTTCTCCACTCAGCTGCCCATCTCCACCCCTCCCACTGGTCTGGATGAATGTCTCTTCTTTAACTCCTTGGTTGTCGGACTTGCATACAATTTGATTTTCTGTCAGTTCAGGTTGTTTTTTGTTTTTAAACTTGTTGTTGTCCTTCTTTTGGTTGTGTGAGGAGGCACGCTGTGTCTACCTATGCCTCCATCTTGGCCAGAAGTCCCATGAAGAGCATAGTTAACATACCTCTCTTAGCCCTCAATCTCTCCCTCTCTCCCCTCGCCCTTTCTTTTTCTCAAAGAACATTTCTAGTGCTTCACAGTGTTTTATCCATAGAAAGGGGGGATTGTATATGAGTTATCAAGAGTATTAGCTGATTTTATAACTTCTTCACTTCTATTTAGTTATAGCAACCACAATGTAGTAGGGCATGCATGTTATGATAGATGGGGGGGGAGACAGTAAAAGGATCTCTGGTAAACAAGTCTTTGATAATGCTGAGCAGACACAGTAGAGATAACCTAGAAAATTCTAAAAATATCATGATACCTGCTCAGGAACATGCAAACACTTTCCTCCCCATACCTACTTTCAAAACACAGATATTTTTCAAAGTGGGGGAAGTCAGATTAGTAATGCAGCATAACTTAAGCCACTGTTACAACAAAAGTCAAGCATTCCAAGATTTGAAATGGTGAATTAATTTCTAATTGAAGGAACATGTTTCAAGTATTATCATACAGACCCACCAGGATTTTATCAGAGACAGATTGCTAGAGTGAAGAGGGATCTTACATATCACTTAGTTCAACATCATACAGACATAAGTCTTCTATAACAAGTCCCTATATATCTGATCTCCTCTTACCAAGTTGTCTCCCATCTGCTCTTTTCCTCCCAACAGTCCAGAAAAATACTGCCAAGAAAAAATGATCTCTCTCAATTCCCACTTAACTGTAATATGGAAAGTTTTCTCTTTTTTAGTTTCTAACCACGAAAGTGTTTCTGATTGATATCCTTTAAATAATACACTCTCAAAAAGAAATACATCTAAAACCAAGAAATATATACCAAACCATGTCTAAAAATTATACCTGTATTTCTTCTTCTGAAGCTGCCATATCATAGTTTCAGAAAGCTCAGTGGCATAAATTTCTTCAAAATGAGGGCTCATGATTTTTGTGACTTCTCCATCTCCAGCACCCAAATCAAGAAGTCTATGGGTTTTCCAGTCTGGATTAATTTTAAGCAGTTTCTGGAACTGATCTGGTGAAAACACAAACATTGAGCCTCTTCCTAGCAACCTGAGGGAAAAAAAAAGAGGACAAAAATGGATGAGTCAATATGAGGTAAGCACAGCTCATATACATATACAGGGTGACTTTGGTGACTCAGCACCAACAGCTTTTTGAACTTACAAAATGTTTAGTTTACATGATTATGTGATTAAAATACATGTAATATTTTATATGATTTATATGATTAAAAATTAAAGTTAATAAAACAAGAAAATACCTCTAGATAGCATCATTTGTCTTTGAGGTTGCAAGTAATACCCCAAAAGAAGTGGGGCAAAAACAGGAATAAAAGATGAAAGAGGAAAAGAATGAGAGGGGAAGGGAAGATAAATAAATGAGAAAAGGTGAATGTGAAAAATTTATCTCAAAATAGGAAGGAAAGATGGAAAGAGTAACATAGAACATATTTATTAGATGACAGACCAACAGAATCAGGCCACAACACTAGCCAATAACACTAAACAGAAAAACCAAATATGGGAGAAAAGCCTTTATGAAACTAAACAATGGGTAAGAAAGAAATAGTTTTAGTATAATAGATTTTTAAGAAAGAAAAGTGGTCCTTGTGATATCAGCTCATTTGCGTTAAGAAAGTAGATTCATACTCATATCAGTGTAATTTGTTATACAATTGGCTAGATGCTATTACTTCTAAAGATCCTAAAAACGCTCATACAATATCTTCTGGTCAAGATGGAGACATAGGTAAACAAGACTTCCTCTTCTCATAACCACATCAAAATTACACCTAAACTATACAACAATCATCATTCAGAACCACCAGAAATCAAGCTAAATGGGAGTCTTACAACTACAAAATTAAAGAAGAAACCACATCAACACTGATAGGAGGGGCAGAGACATGGAATGAACTGGTCCCACACTGAAGTGTGGCAGATGAAAATCAGGAGAAATATCTTAAAAGTGAGGGGTCCCAGCCCCACACCAGGCCCCCTAGCCCAGGGTTCCACTGCTGGCAAGAGAAGTTGTCATAACATCTGGATTTAAAAACCAACACAGACTGAGGCTGCAGAAGACAGAAACTTTCGGAGTCCCAGGCAGTTCTTTTTAAAGGGCCTGAACACAGATTTACTCAGACCCACTAGCTCTGAGCTCCAGTACTGGGGAAGAAGACTGAAAAGCACCAGAAATATGGGGAGGAACTGAATTGTGCTGCATCAGGATCAGAGTTTGGGAGAAGCGTTCTCCCAGACAGAATGCTGACAGAGTCTACTCTTCCTTTTCTGAGCTCTCCCCCCCCACACAAAGGTAGCAGATGGGTGCCATATCTGAGACTCCATCAACCTGGCTCATACTGTTTGACCAACCCTGGTGATTCCCTGATGCTCACCCCACACAATTTTCAGGCCCACCCAAGCTGTTTCCAGTAGCTTTTCCATACAAATGGCTTGTCTTGGCTCATGCTTCAGATTTGCCTAAATTCTTTAAAACAAGCAACATCTAGTCTGAGTGAGCCCTGTACTTCTTGTTAAGTGTCCCCAGGCCTGGTACTAGCAGCAGCTAGCCTTGGTTCACAGCTTGGCCTCACCTGGGCACCCCCAAGAGTTGTAGCAACTCTACCTAATACACAGAAACTAACACAGGGAAGCTCTCTAAATAAGAAGACAAAGAAATGTGGTCCAAATGAAAGAACAGAGCAAAGCTCCAGAAAAAGAACTAAACAAAATTAAGATAAGTGATCTATCAGATGCAGAGTTCAAAACATTGGTTATAGGGATGCTCAAAGAACTTAGTGAGGACCTCAACATCATAAAAAAGATACAGTCAGAAAAGAAGGGCACACTAATTGAAATAAATAAAAATCTACAGGGAATGAACAGTAGTGTGGATGAAGCTAAGAATCATATCTCACTAAGTAATTTGGAATATAAGGAGGCAAAAAAAAAAACCCACCTCATTAGTAGAGCAAGAAGAAAAAAGAATCCATAAGGGGGAGGGATTTGGAGGAACAAATAGGAAGGACACAGGGACGAGAACTAAGGGGGGTGGAAATGGGAGGGAGGTGGGGAGCAAGGGGCAGGGGAGGCTGGGATGGGAAAAATAGACAAAAAACTGTACTTGAAAAATAACTAAATAAAATTTAAAAAATAAATAAAAAAATTTAAAAAAAAGGATAGTATAGGGAGCTTCTGGGACAACTTTGAGCATAACAACACTCATATCATGGAAGTACTGAAAGGAGAAGAGAACAAGAAACTGAAAACCTATTTGAAAAAATAATGAAAGAAAATGTCCCTGATTTGATGAAGAAAATAGACATGCAAGTCCTGGAAGCAGAAAGTCCCAAACAAGATGAACCCAAAAAGGCCCACACCAAGATACATCATAATTAAAATACAAAAGCTTAAAGACAAAAAGAGAATTTTAAAAGCACCAAGAGAAAAGAAGCTAGTTACCTACAAGGGAGCTCCCATAAGACTGTCAGCTAATTTCTGAAAAGAAACTTTGCAGGCTTGAAGGGATTGGCAAGAAATATTCAAAGTCATGAAAAGCAAGGACCTACAACCAAGATTACTCTACCCAGCAAAGTCATCATTTAGAATGGAAGGGCAGATAAAGAGCTTCACCAACAGGAAAAAGCTAAAGGAATTAATTACCACCAAACAAGTGTTATATGAAATAACAAGGGTCTTCTTTAAGAAGAACAAGAAGATCAAAAATATGAACAATGAAATGGTAATACATACATATTAACAGCTGAATAACCAACACAAAATAAACAAACTAGCAGAACAGAAACAGAATCATACATACAAAGAATGTTTTGATGGTTCCCAGATGGGTTAGGCAAAAAGGTGAAGGGGTTAATAAGTACAAATTGGTTGTTATAGAATAGTCATAAGGATATAAATTACAGCATAGGGAATATAGTAGCCAAGAACTTATTCTATGACCTATGGACATGGACAACAGTGTAGGGATAGCCTGAGGGAGTGGGAGTATCTGGTTGGAGGGAGGAAAATTGGGACAACTGTAGTAGCACAAATAAAATATATATTTTTTAAAAAACACTCAAACATAGGAATGCCTTTGAAAAATAGAGACTGAGAGGAGTTAAAAGGGAAATCAAAGAGAACCCCTGGAAAAGAGGTAGAGATCATACAAAGTCTCATGGAAGCATCATGTGGAAATGACTGGACTCCCATTTAGGACAGGTTTTCTAGCTCTCAAATCCTCATTTGTCTACAGCACAGACCCTCACATTTCTTTAAGTACAGAATTATACAGGGAGCTACTGCTGGATGTAACAAACCTTAACAGGATCATCAAAAAATTCTAGAGTTAGAGGTCATCTGAGGTCAGAGCTCAGGAGGTCATCTCACTGGTCTACATCTAAAGGCACCAGAGAGAGAAGCACTGTCCACAAAAAGATTAAAACTGTCAAAAATAAATAAAAATTCATTGAGCCCAGTGTGTCTCAGCCAAGACCAACTTTGTCCTCTAAGAGTCATTGGTAGCAGGTGGGAGAGTATGGGGTAGTTAGAATGGCTTAGTGGGCAAGACCAGAAAAGTCAGATTTTCTGCAATGTGTGGGATAGTCCGATAACTCTACTTAAAATGTTAAGACGCTGACCTCAACACAAAGTTTCCAGCAAACGTATACCATGGAGAGGTCTGCCTCTCTAATTTGCCTTTAATTACCAAAGTTAGTGATGTCCATGTGATTTTTTTTTTAAGTGTTGAATAACCATCCTAGATTTTCTGACCACAATCTAAGTTCTTTCCAGATTCAGAGTCTGTAGAGCAGGTATGTGTTGTAGACTGCTCTGCTTAGCTTTAGGAATTGTATCTCGATCCCTTATGGCTAAGGGCGAGAGACGACCTGTAGAATGTGAGCCACAGGAGACAAAGCTTGTCTCTGGTAGCAAACACTGCCTCAGTTCCTCTCCCTGCCCCCAAAGCTTGGTTGGAAGTCAATGATGGGTAAGACCCCTCATAGCAGGGGCAACCTAAGCCAGATTCGATCACTTGGGAGGCCTTCATGGAAGGACTTGGGGGGCTGCAACAAAGAGCAATGGACTCTCACCCCCTGGCTTGACATAGCCCGAGTCCCCATGTTCTCTGGGAGAAGCGCTTCTTGGCTCTAATCCCGTTAAGCCTGAATACCTGATGGGAGAGTTGCAGCTCTTTGCCTTGCCAGAGCATGTCCTGGGGAAAAAAATCTGGCATCACAAAGACTTGCTGATAAACCTGTGAAATCTTCTCTAAGAGTGCTTTCATTCATATGATAAGGGTCTGAGAGGAAATGTGTATGTCTCCCAACGTTTTTGCAACTCTCTTCCTGACAGACACTGACTCAGACTCTGAAGCCCTCAGATCTCTTTGAAATGTTATCTACTGTTTGATCGTTGCTGCCCTGTATTCCAGTGTATTACAACCCAGTAAAAGCTCTGGAGCAGGGGGCTCGAGGCCTTTTTCTCCTCGGAGGAACTGGCTGCTGCTCGCCTTTGTCTCCCCTGAGAAATTGGTCACAGCCCACTCCTCCTCCTCCCTAAGCAGATCACATCATGTCTACAGTCATATTCACTTTCGTCCGTGGCACCCAGGTTCGGGGGAGGGGACTCGCGAAGAAGTCGCTTCCACAGGTATGTCTCCTCAAAATATCTTCCTTATAAAATAAATGCCAAAACACCTATCAAGTACACCCTTACTTAGCCTTTACCTTCCATCACAAAGGAAGTCTAATAAGCATCTTACGGTCTTACTTCAAGAAGATGCCATAGTAATTACATCTGTAAGAGATGCTCATTTATGGTAACAATCTATCACTGCCATGGATGTGCCAATGGGCTCAAAAGTAAGCTTTCAGCTGAGAATAAGGACACAGGGCAAGAGCTGTTTATGTTTTTGTTGGATGGGAAGGTGGAGAGGGGATAAGGGTTAAAAAAAATGTAGAGAGCTATAGACAAGGAAAGCCAAAAGGGTTACTGTCTTAACTGTACTACCTCTCTTTGACCAAACTGTGAAATTCCCCAGCAGAGAATTTTAACCAGGGTCCAATGGGGTAGAGATAGGGGCAAGTAGCTCAGAGTTTGAAATCTCCCCAAATTTTATGCAAAATGTTAAATGTAAGGACTATGAAAAAAGGATTCCTACCTTTTATTGCTTTCAAAAAGGTACAGGGCCCCAAAAAGGTTACAAATCATTGCTACAGTGACTTGTCTGCTTTTCAGTGAAAAAATAAATGGAATAGAGCAGAGAAATTCAATGCAGCCAATTTTAGAAACAAAGTGTCAGGCCCAGTTGTATAAATTCAACTACCAATACAAAAATAACTGTTTGCTGAAGCAAACTTCAGCCAATTTCACATAAGCAATGAAAAAATCAAGTAAGAAATCTTGAGAAATGGCTCTAGGTACTGGAAAACATATGTAAGAAACACATGACAAACTGGGGACACAGATATTCAGTAGACACTGGCTCTAAACCAGTGGCTTTTAGTGGTCCAACAAGCTTGTAAAGCACTGAGCTCTGCTGCTTTCCTCTTTGATGTTCTGGATTCTTAAGCCTTGGGATGTTTGAAAATGTGGCCAAGAGATAAAAAATATTCCTAGAGCTTTTTCCATAGATTTCAATGAAACAACCACTCTAAGGATAAAGAATTCCATAGTAAGTTTTTAAAAGTCTGGTGAGCCTAGACATCTAAGAACAGATACAGGAGTCTTCACTGAAAACAAGCCATCACCCACTGCTGGGTTGAAATAGATCCTCCCAAAACTTGCTCCTGGGACATGTGCTTAAGGCTAAGACCTTACTCCTCAGCTCATCTCTGTCAAGGGTTTGGGGTTAAGTATCTTGCTACTCCCTCTGCTAAATCAGCAGCAGCAAAAGTATCACCTGTTTAAAATACAGACTCTCAGGCCCCACCCTAAACCCACTGACTCTGAACCTGCATTTTAACCAGATCCTCAGGTGATTCCTACAGACATCAAAGTTGGGAAGCACTGCTCTAGGTACTTCCCATCATAAAAATTGGGACTAAGACTAATGAGGCTATTTATCAAGTTATGGTGAACTTAAAAAGCCTAAGCACAGACAGCGAAGACACTGGATCTACCACCAAGGATTTCCTCTAGCACAGGGATGTCTAACTCATTTTCATCAGGGGGACCACATCAGCCTTGCAGTTGCCTTCAAAGGGCCAAATGTGATTTTAGGACTGTATAATTGTAACTACTCCTTAACAGTTAAGAGACAGCTTGGTGCTGCTGCCAGGTAGAAACAAGGTGGAGGGCCAGATTTGGCTCACAGGCTTTGTGTTTGCTACCTATGCTCTAGCAGTTAAGTGTTGTCACTGCTGAGGTGGTCAACGTCCTGAACAAGATTTCTTTTGTTTTACATTTTCCTTTTTTAAAACCTATGGATTAAAAAAAAAAATCCAAGATTCACTTACCCATTGATAGATGTTCTAGACATAAACAGACTAAAAACTGATGACACAAAGGAGTGGTATAATTGGATAAATAGCCAGCCTGACTTCTCAATGCTGTTGTTTAAGAAGATCTGTGTTCCTTGATCGAGGTAACTCTGAACAAACACAGCCTGGAGCGATTCACATAATTTCTCTCTGTTGCATACATACCACTAAAAAAAAAAGAGGAAGAAGAAAAATTAAAACACACAACTGAAGTGTTATCTGAGAAGTCCAAAAACAAACACAGAAGACTGAGTTAAATCTAAGATTTCCAAATATTATAATCTCATAGCACTTTGAGGATAACCATTCTCCCTTATAATACTCATACTTATAAAGTATAAAACACTTCTTCATAGGTAATTTCTCTTTTAAGTCTCCTGACCCTTGAGGTAGGAAGAGGGTAGGGATGGGGAAGAGGCATTCGAGTCATGCAGCTTAGTAGGTGGCAGAGCCGGGCACAGTCCAGGAGATCTGACCCTAACCCAATACTCAGTCACAGTACCCTCTGGACCTTCAGATATAGGAAAGCTCTGCTAGCCTCTCCTTCACTAAGATGAAACATAAGGTGGCCATAACCAGCCCTGGCTGGTGTCGCTCGGTAGACTAAGTGCTGGCCTGCAAACTCAAGGGTCGCTGGTTTGATTCCCAGTCAGGACACATGTCTGGGTTGTGGGCCAGGTCCCCAGTGGGGAGTGTGCAAGAGATAACCACACATTGATGTTTTTCTCCCTCTCTTTCTCCCTCCCTCCCCCTCTGTCTAAAAGTAAATAAATAAAATCTTTTTTAAAAAATCTTTAAAAAAAAAGGCCATAACCAGCATTATTAACCTTGTTTTAGGTTAAAAAAAAAAACAAAAGTCACATAATACAATGATTTAACTCAAAACCACCAAACAAATCAATGGCAGAATATGCAGTAAAATTTAACACTTTAGTGACCAGATTAAGCAGCCTGTCTTCCTATACACTATATACAGACCTTTAAAATACTGACGTGTGCTCTACCAGGTCATATAATATTCTTACATACAGGGCACACTGCACTTGAGAAAAATTAGAAAGTACTTAAGGTCATACTGCAATCAATAAGAAAACAAAGTGATGATACGCTAAGAACAAAATTTCTAGGAATAGGCTATAACCAGAATATATGTTTTAGAACAAAACTCAAGAACCTTCACTGTGAGAGAAATTTAATCTTCCACAATAAATGGTTTCCATTTCCATTTAGATCCAGTGAACCAGAGAAAGGGGAAAGTAGACTGAAAGTTGCATCAGCTGTACTATCAGCCCCATAATTAGTGTTCTGGCTCTGTCATTTTGTGTGAGCTCAGACAAGTCACTTAATCTCTGAGCCCCTATTCACTCATCTGTAGCCTAGAAATGTTATTAGTTTCTATCCTGCTACTGAGAGGATTAAACATGATAATGCAAGCAAATCTTCATTATAGGAGCTGAACCAGAGGAGAACCCAACAATAACAGCAATAGGGTCCCTGTAAATACTGCCTGATAAATAAGAGTAAGCCCAGTCAAGATGGTGGTGTAGGCAGACATGGCTCACATCTTCACACAACCACATCAAAATTAAAACTTAAATATAGACTAACCAAGAATAACTATCACTCAGAACTATCAGAAATCCAGTTGAATGGAAGTCTGACAACTATGGAATTAAAGAAACCACATCTATCCAGACTGGTAGGAGGGGCACAGACACAGAACAGTCTAATCCCACAACCATGTGTGGTGGATAAAAATTTGGGAGGGATATCTCCAGAGCGAGGAGTCCTAGTCCCACACCAGAGATCCAGCCCAGGGATCCAGTGCCAGAAAGATAAGTCCTCAAAACTTCTGGCTGCAAAAACCAGCAGGGATTTGATGGGGTCCGTGACAGTGTGGATGGGGGAGAGACATTCATGCAGACTACCAAGTCCTGTGGAGGAAAGGGACAGCACTGCTTTTTCTCTCAAGGGGAGCAAAAAGCCATAGTGTCCGCCATGACAGGCCTTTATTGGGTTTCTCCACACATTACAAGATGGTCCTCATTTACTATGCACAGGTTGGCTTTAGGTGGTTACCCTTTACAGAAAACAAAGAAGCCAATGCCACTAATCACATCACAGAAGAGGGATATTTGCAAATGAAAAGGGAAAAGTGGTTGAACCAGTTACACTCCATATTGGGAAGTTTTAGCATAGATTTTAGGAAGTTACGGTAAGCACTTATTGTCTCAATTCAGGGTGAGGGAGTTTTAGCAAAAACAAGTCTCAAAGTGGCCCAGGCACATTGCAGGCCTGATTCCCCACAGAAGAACCTATCTGTGGGTGTGGGTCCTGTGCATCTCCAAGTGGGAGCTGGGCCCACACCACGCAGAACAGTCTCCTACAGGGACTGAGTCAGTGAAGGAAACTTCCGGAGCCCCAAGCAGTTCCTCTTAAATAACCCACACATGAACTCACATACTCAGACTCACTTCCTCTGAGCTCCAGCACTGGGGTAGAAGCTTGAAAGGCATCACTGACATACTGGGGGAAACTGAAGTGTCTGGCATCAAGGTGAGCTGAGGCCATTGTCCTTTTTCTAAACCCTCCCCCGACGGAGGCCAGCAAACTGGTGCCATATCTGAGACTCCATCACCTGGCTAACATTGTTTCACTTGCCCTAGAGATCCCCAGAGACTCCACATCACCCAACTTACAGGCCCATCTAAGCCATATGAATGGAAAAGGGAAATGGAAAATGGTCTTGGCTCATACTTCACAACTTCCTAAATCCTTTCAAACAACAGCTGGCTTTAGTGAGCCCCAGGCCCAGCACTGGCAGCAGCCAGCCTAGGTTCACAGCTTGACTTTGCCTGGGAATCTCTAAGCCCAGCACAAGTAGCAGCCATCTCAGATTGCTTTATAGCTCAGGAAAGGCAGCTCTAAGCAAAGCACAGTGGGGGGCGGGGCTGACCTTGGCCTGAACCACCTGGGAAATCCCAGGGCCAGTGTACCCAGTGGACAGCTACAGACCATGTTGGAGCACTACCACCCTGCCCCTGTATAGCTGATTCTCCACAGAGGGTGCAGGTTGGTGGTGGTCAGAGCTCACAGCCAGTCCTTGCAGCTGACTTGCCTATATAATCCCTCCCACTGATCTGCCAACAGCAACCAAGGCTCAACTAAAAGAGAAGGGTGTTCTAAGCCCATACAGAGGGCACACCTTGAATACCCAGCTTGGGTGATAGGAGAGGGTGTGCCACTAAACCCTACAGGATGCCTACTATATTAGGCCACACTACTAACACATGGAGTCAAAGCAGCTTGAGCTAATATAATACACAGAAACAAACACAGGGAGGCTGTCAAAATGAGGAAACAAAAAAAACATGGCCCAAACAAAAAAAAACAGATCAAAACTCCAGAAAAAGAGCTAAATGAAATACAGATAAGCAATCTGTCAGATGCAAAACAATGATCATAAGGATGTTCAAGAAACTTAGTAAGGACCTAAACAGCATAAAAAAGATCCAGTCAGAAACAAAGGAGACACTAATTTAAATAAAGAACAATTTACAGGGAAACAACAGCAGATTGGATGAAGCAGAGAATCAAATCAATGATTTGGAACATAAGGAAACAAATAACAACCAATAAGAACAACAAGAAAAAAGAATCCGAAAAAATGAGGATAGCATAAATAGCCTCTGGGACAACTTCAAGAGGTCCAACATTCCCAACATAGGGGTGCCAGAAGGAGAAGAGAAAGAGCAAAAAATTAGAAATGTATTTGAAAAAATATTGAAAGAAAACTTCCCTAATTTGGTGAAGGAAGTAGACATGCAGGTGTAGGAAGCTGAGAAGGTCCCAAACAAAATGGATGCAAAGAGGTCCCCTTCAAGACACATCATAACTAAAGTGCCAAAGCTTATAGAGAATCTTAAAAGTGGCAAGAGCAAAGTAGTTAGTTACCTACAGGGGAGTGCTCATAAGACTGTTGGCTGATTTCTCAAAAGAAACTTTGGCCCTGGCTGGTGTGGTTCAATGGATCAAGTGCTGGCCTATACAGCAGGGGCCACTCCTTCAATTTCCAGTCAGGGAACATGCCTCAGGTGCAGGCCAGGTCCCTGGTAGGGGGCACAGGAGAGGCAACCACACATTGCTGTTCCTCTCCCTTTGTCCCTCCTTTCCTGTCTAAAAAAAAATACAATCTTTCTTAAAAAAAGGGACTTTGCAGGCTAAAAGGGACTGGCAAAAAATATTCAAAGTTATGAAAAGCAGGGACCTACAGCCAAGATTTCTCTATCCAGCAAAGCTATCATTTGGAATCGAAGGGCAGATACAGAGCTTCCTGGACAAGAAAAAAAAATTAAAGGAGTTCATCATCACTAAACCATTATCATAGTTAAAGGGACTTATTTCAGGAAAAGATCAAAACTATGAACAATAAAATGGCAAAAATACATATCCATCAATAATTGAATCTAAAAAACAAACTAAGCAAAGAAGAACAGAGACAGAATCATAGATATGGAGAGCATCCTGATGGTTGCCACATGCGAGGGGCGTTTGGAGGAACAGGTGAAGAGGTGAAGGGATTAAGAAGTATAAATAGGTAGTTACAGAACAGCCAGGGGAATGTAACACAGAGTATAGGAAATGGAGTAGCCAAAGAACTTAAATGTACGACCCATGGACACGAAAAATGGTGTGGGGATTGCCTGAGGGAGGGTTGAGGGGGCAAAAGGGGAAAAATCAGGACTAAAATAGCATAATGAGTAAAATATAATTCTTAAAAAAAGACTAAGCCCATGAAGTACAATGATGGAACCACAGAGCCAATCAGTTACTATTAATCAATTATCTGCTAAAAAAAAAAACAATTTTTCTCAGTAAGGAGCAAAAAGCAACTTGTTTCCCCCTGACAAATATGACTATCAGCAGTAGGTGTTCCACAACTGCTTACACTATTGGTAGTCCAATTTTCTAGTCACCCTAAGCTTACTAAATGTAGGTGAAATCTTGCATAGTTATAAACCAATACAAACAAGCAAATAAGTACATTAAAATTTCAAACATTGACTAACATTATACAAACCCTGTACTCTAAACTGGATAAACCAAATCCTTCCAATTGTTGATTGATCTGTATTAATTTACCATTTAAACATTGTTACCAAAACTA